CGAGAAAAAGTCACGGGTAGAATGCGCGCGTGCGCGGACGCATCGACGGAGGCATCGAGCCCAGAAGGAGCTGGCTGGGCCGCTGTCGCGGCGTTCGTCGGCGACGATGAAAACATGTCATTTCAGGGGGCCATCCAGGGTGAGTCAGGGGGCCATTGGCTTTCGATCCTGCGCTGGAGCCGCATGGCAGTACAACGCCAGATACTGTCGCCATCGTCTGGGCCATGGACTGGGCAGCGTTGTGCGGCAGCGATTTCGGCGGCGCCGCCGGGTGTCAGGGTGCCCAGGTGCCCGGGCGCCCGGGTGCCTGCAGGCGCCCGGTTTCCTCGATGCTCGCGGGCGCCCGCGTGCCCGGGTGCTCGGGTGCCCGGGCGCCTGGGTGCCCGGGTGCCCTGCAGCTGCCCGGGTGCCCGGTAGCCTCGCTTTATATTTTAGCCCCATAGTTTTTTGGCTCTTTAGCCCCATAGCCTTATAGCCCAAATGTCCCTGATAGCCCAAGTAGCCCTATAGCCGTATTGCCCTATAGCCCTACATCCCGATAGCCCCATGGGCTTATAGCTTTATAGCCCCGTGGCCCCATGGCCCCAACAAGATTTTGAGTTGGGTTTATCTCCAGCGTCATGTGATTTTGAAGAAGTAGCGACTGTTGGAGCTTCTCTGAGTGCTCTCAACATCATGCGCGGGGAGGCCCTCTCTCGCGCCTGCCCTGAGCTAAGAAGTCTAGCGCGCCAGCTTTCTTTAGAACTTAGGCGCTCCAGTTGAGTTGGCGCAACGCGCGTGGCCTCGCCCTACTGCGCGCCGCGGTGCGAGCTTGCAGACTCCATGGCAGAGGCAGCCCGCTCAGGTCTCGCCACTAGTCAACCAGTTCCACGAGTGGCCATTATAAAAGTCGGGCTTCGGAGGGAAATTCGCAGGAGCTGGCTTCGTTGACTGGGCGAACGCGCCCCGAGTTGATCGTGGGCAGTTCTCTTTTCGCTCGTTCCCGTCATCAGGCCATCGACGATCAGCTCGGAGAGTTGGGCGCGGCTCAAGGTGGGGCGGCAGCATTGTTCAGCGGAAGGGGGGGGGGGGGGGATGGGGGCGAGCTGCGGTTTCAGCTGCGCACTGCCGCGTGCAATGTCTCTCTCCCATGCCTGATTGAGAACGCTACGTTCCGCCGGAGCCGTGCTCGGCACCTTGGGCTGCAGACGCAGCGGCGCAGAGTTTCCATCCGCGGGGCCCAGGAAGCTAGGACCAAATCGGGCGGGGCGCTCGAATGAGGGCGACATTTCCGTCGTTTTCTGCGGGCTCGGGGGGCTTTCTAGGTTGCGAGCCGTGGCTCTCGAAGAGCCGTCCTTGCGCCGCCAGGGGCCGCCTAGGGTTTGTGGAGCCCCGCTCGGTCGGGCGCGACGGTTAGACGCGAGAAGAAGATTCTAGCGGCAGCGAGCTCCGCGGTTTTGCAGTTTTCAGGGGGGCCCGTTGTCGTCGACGCTTCGCGGCGGAGCCGGCGCAGGCTTCGCCTGGGCAAGCGCCCCTGGGCGCCAACGCCGCGCCGATGATGTCTGAGCAGGCGTCCAACGGAAGGAATGCGTCCAGGGGCGCGGCGCGCGGCGCGACGTTGACTTCGCGACGGCGTCAATGGGGAAAACGAAAGGGAGTGGCGGCGCAAGGACAGGTGAGGATGAGGGCGTTGGGGGATCATTCCCTTGCGCTTGTCTGCTAAATTGGAAGGCCAACGCAGGAATTGCGAAGCAGGGGGGGGGGGGCCTGGCTGCGACAGGGCCAAGACGCGGACGTCGTCCAGCAGGCTGCCTTTGCAGAGCGGCTCCGAATTATCCCACTGCCGGCTCGGAGTATGGATGCGTGTGAGCAGACGTGGCGTTTGCAGTCGGCGCTGCTAGATGCCGCGCGAGGGCGTGTTCCGCTCTCGCCGCGGCGCGCTATCCAGCCGCGCGTTCGAGCGCAGACGCTCGAGTTCGCTGCGCTCCGTCGGAGAACGCGAGGGGCGCTTGGACTTGGGGGGGCTGGCCAGGCCGGGCCCAGCTATTTTACGACGTCGCTGCGAACGCCCGCCGGAGGCAAGAGATGCCCATGGCCATCGAAGACCATCCCGCGGCGAAGATAATTGCGCTTTCTGCTCGGATGTTTCTCGAGGGACGAGGTTTCGGGGTCGCCGCCTGTGCCGGGCAGTTGGCTGAGTGCGCGCGCGCTGCCTTGTGGGCTCAGAGCCGCGCTGGACGCGGATCGGAATGTTCCATGGGTGGTCCGGCGGATGAGCTAGGCAAGTTCATCAGCGAAGGGAATAATGCGGAGGGGTGGGCGGCGTTGCGTGCCCTTGCAGGGTTCGGGGGCGGCTCTGCGCGCCCTCAATGATGCCCGCCCATGAAGGATGAACTCTGGAGGGAATTTTCTCGCCGCGAGACAGGGCGTCGCTAGAGATGTTGCAGTTCACTTTAGCGAGCTCGAATGCGCGGAACGGATATCGCAGCATGATTGCGTCAGGACATGCGGATTGGGCCGAGCCATCATTAAGTCTGATAAAGTTGATCCAGCGAGCGTCATTATATCGCGAGAGACGGAGTTGATCTCGAGCAGGCTTGACATTGGCAATGCAGCCGGCCCAGAAAACATGCTCAACGAAGCGTTGTGGTATTCACCTCAGGAGACGGCGCGACACATTCGCACGATTTTGGTGAAAGCCGCGTTGCAGGCTCGCGAATCGGCTGCATTTCAAGGGGGGGTGCGTTTGACTTGTGCAAATTGAATGGCAGGCCGGCCGCACCTCGCAGCGCGGAGGCGTCCAGGGGAAGGGGGGCCGACATGGCCTCGCATATGATTCGGGCTGTCATGGAGTTGGCCAGGGCCATCAAAAACATAGGTTCCTGGTCGTTTATATTGACTTGAAGGCAGCCTTGCATAGGTTTGTCCGCGAGTTGGTTTTAGGGGGGCTCCACAGGCATGATGACTGGGGCTCGGTCATTGACTCGGTCGACACTCTTCTTTTGTAGCCCGTCATGGATAAACTTGTCAGTGCGCCAGGAATCCAGGAGAAATGCATGCATGACCCTCACTTAATGCTCGAGGTTCTCCAGGATGTTTACCAGGGGACATGTTTTGCGGTGCGGGGTGATGACGACGTCGCCAGGACTCTGGGGGCTCGACCGGGCAGCACAATGGGGGACATGGTGTGCAATGTGTCGTTCTCACCCATCCTGGAAGAGAGTCATCGCATAATGAAGGTCGCTGGGCTGGCTATCGAGTTGCCGGCGGTTTCAGGGCCGTGCTGAAGTGAGTTAGATAAGGGGCGCATGTCGGCCTCAGATGCTGCATGCGCGGATGACCTAACAGCGCTAGCCGTGTGGAAGAACAACGAATGACTCCGCTCTGCAGCTATCCGCCTGCGTGCGATCCCCCGCGGGGCCACCGCCTCTCGCGGGATGCGGCCCAACTGCGGGAAATGCAAGACGGGGCTCTCTGCGGGGGTCCAAGCAGGAATGGTTCGCGCGCGGGGGCGGGTGTCTTAGGCTGAGCAGGTGTGACGCTGTCATGGAGATTCGTAGCATGCGCAAGCGCTTGGGATGCACCCCCCGCGTCGAGGGACTTCAGGGGCCCTAGATCCAGTCGCGAGCTGTTTCCCAGAGCGAGGGCCTGGGACCACTCAAGCGCGCGGTTTTCAAAATGAGGGGGGTGAGAATCAAGGCGGGGCCGAGGTGTATCTAACCGTTGTGCTCTGCCTAGCTTTTGCGCCATGGCGGTGGGGCCCGCTCGGGGCTGAGGACCTCGAGAGGGTCCGGGCAGAGTTTTGGAAACCTCATCGAGAAGCCACTTGGAGGGTCGCTTGGAGTGCGAGCCACGAGGGCGCGCGCAGGCACGTGGGCGATGCCTTGTTTGAGGCCCTACGGCAAGTGGTTCGACGTGGCCCGCGAGGCCCACAACGCCTAGGCCCGCGCAGTGCGTGGAGTTGTCGCCACTTTCGCCCGCTGGAGTAGAGATCAGCATGAGCTGTCGAGGTAGGGCAGGAAGATGTGCGATAGACGTGTAGCTAGCGGCGCTGGGCCCCCCGGGCGCTGCCGCGCCCACCCCCCTTGACCATCGCATGCCCGTGCCAGGATGCCGGGCCATGATGGGATCCGAGCGCAGTTGGCGGCCCCATCGTGCAAGGGATCACCAGGGGCACGATCCCGCGGCCAGGCATGCTCGGGGAGGGGCATGCTTCGCCACTCGCGCACGTTTGCTCAAGCACTCGAGAAGGGGAAACAAGCGGTGCCTGGCAGGATGGGTCCAACAAGCGCCAGCGATGGAAGCTGACGAGAGGGGGCAGGAAGTTGATGCGGAGGAGGCTGAGACGCAACGCTTCAAGGCCAGGGTCTCTACTACGCCAAGGCCGAGGTGCCAGTTCATCCAGTTTTGGGCCAGCCTTCCCACCACCCTCGCCAGAGCTGGTAGCGCAATGCGCCGTGCCCGAGCAACCGCCAGAGCCCGTAGCTGCGCATGCCTCGCAGTTTTCTGGTGCCGCTCCGATTCCCCTGCCAGTTTCAACCGACAAATTCAATACGCGCTGCAACTCTTCAGCGGCCAAAGACGGCCTGGAGATGCGCACAGCCACTTCGAGCATTTCCAATTTCAGTCCCAGGCAGCGGAATGGATGATGTCGGTCGGCGTCGTCCACGACGGGGTTCGGTGGGATCTCAGGAATGCCGCTGCCGTGGATAAACTTATCGATCTCGCTTACGCCGGCAGAGTGTTGGCAGGACGAGGGCGAGGGCGAGGACGAGGAGGACGAGGAGGAGGAAGACAAGGAGGAGGAGGGAGCATTGAGGAGGGAGGAGGGAACCGGGAGGAGGAGGAGGGAGGAAAAGGAGGAGAAGGAGGAAAAGGAGGAAAAGGAGGAGGACGGGGAAAATGAGGAGGAGGAGGAGGAGGAAAAGGAGAAGAGTCCCCCCCTCCTGTCTCGATTCTCGACCCCCACCCATGGGGGCCTCCGCCCCCCAGCCATGGGCCAGTGGGGAGCGCTGCGGCAGGTGCCCCTGAAGTCCTCGCTGAAGGCGCCCGCGAGGCAGAGCACGACCACTGCGGCGTGTGACCTCGTCGCCGTCGCCGTCGAAGGCCCAAGAGGTTTTCCAAATCCCCCCAAGACGTTCCGAGGGGCCTGAAAGAGGGCCCCAAAGCGGCCCACGGCGGGCCAAGGGGCCCACAAGACGGCCCAAGAGTGCGCCGCCGCCGACGCCAACGCTGTCGTCATCGTCGCCGCCGTCGTCGTCGCCATCACCGTCGGCGCCGTCGACGCCGTCGGCCGCTGTCATCGTCGTCGTCGGCGGCGCCAGCGCCGTCGCGATTGTGGAGGGGGGTTCGAAGCTCGATCCTGGGAGGGCGCGCGACCAGGAGGGCAACATGAACGCCGAGAGGGAGTCGGGACGGAGGGGGCCCTGGCAGGTTGCGTGGCAGATGGCGGGCACGCGCGGTGAACCTCCCAGGGCTCGGGGGGGCTCCTCCTCCTCCTCCTCCTCCTCCTCCTCCTCCTCCTGCTCCGCCTCCGCCTCCGCCTCCGCCTCCTTCGCCTCCTCCTCCTCCTCCTCCTCATCCTCTTCCTCCCTCCTCCCTCGTCCCTCCTCCCTCGTCTCTCCTCCTCTGCCTCCTCCTCCTCCTCCGTCCTCCGTCCTCCTCCTCCTCCTCCTCCTCCTCCTTCCTCCCTTTCCTCCGCCTCCTCCTCCTCCTCCTCTTTTTCCTCCTCCTCTTCCTCTTCCTCCTCCTCCTCCGAGCCTCCTCCTCTTCCTCCTCCTCCTCCTCCTCCTCTTCCTCCTCCCCCTCCTCCCCCCCCTCCTCCTGCATCTTGAGGTGGGGGCCCTCTTGAGGGGTCTGGCAGCTATTCGAGAGGCAGCAAGGCCCTGAAAGGATCCTTGGGGGGACCGCATCAACCACCAATCGCGCACTGATCGCCGATGGGGGCCTGATAGTCCCACCCCGCTCATGAGAGTGCGGATTTGCCATATATATATATATATATATATATATATTTATATATCAGATTATAGATCGATGCTTTCTCCCCTGGGCTGGTCTCCCCGACGTTCCCCCTCACCTGGGTGTGGTACACAGAATGATGGCATTCAAACAAGCACGGGTCAACGGCGGGAGTGCCAGCAATTTGTTTATGTAGGCAAGTCTTATTCATCTAGTTGGTGAGGCGCATGATCTGCTGAACGAGGTTCCCGATGGCCTCTCTACTAGCTGGCGGAACCATAGCCATGGGTTTCCCCCTTCTTGTCCCTATTTCCTAGTCATTCTTCCCGCATCAACCCCTCATCCTTCTTCTTGTGTCTCTCCTTTTCCTGTTACCTCCCCGCTCATTCTCCTCCGCTCCTCCCTCCCCCTCTTCCTTCCCCTCTTACCAGGAGTTGAGCCAAGCGGCCGAACACTTCTCCTTCGACGGCGCTCTCCTGAAGGCCCTGTGCTGCTTGTACAGGGCTCCGCGCAGGGCGCGGTGGACTGGAGGCACCAGTCGCCTCAGCCACCCCAATGGAACGATTGTGGCCGGCTGCAGCGCGGCGACTGGAGTGGCGAAATTGTTGATGCTGACGTTGCTGAGGCGCATTGCGTCGGAGACTCGCCCTTGTCGTGCCCTCAACGTGGTGGATGACCTGACGACGCACACCATCGGCGGGCCCGCCACGACCATCAACAGCACGATCCAGAGCTTCGACATTGTTACCTCGGAGCTTGGAGCGCGCAAGCTGCCGATCAATTGGGGCAAGACCCGGTTCATGCTGTCCGACCACAGCCTCTTGCCGCAGTTGATGCGGGACCCGCGTTGGAAGATAGGAGAGGACAAGCTTGTCCGCTCGCACCGAGACCTTGGCGGTGATTCGAACGACGGCAGCGTCCGCAGAGTAGCCACGCAGGCCAGTCGCCTAACCGCCGCCGCCTCGACAGGCGTCGCCCTGCGCCAGCTCGGCCAGAGTGAAAAGCATAGCAGAGTCTTCCGCGTAGGGCCACTCGCTAAGGCCATTTGGGGATCCCATATTTTAGGGATCCCCCCGACCAGCCTCCACAAGCTGAGGGTCCAAGCGGCGCGCTCCTGGGGCCCTCTCCTTCCGGGGATCTCGTTGGGCTTCCGGTTCCTCTCGTCCCCGGGGCTCTGGATTCGGGATCCTCTTGTGGTGGTGGTCTGTTCGGCTGTGAAAGAATTTGTTGGGGTTTTATGGAATCGTTCCATATCCCAGGCTGTGCTGGCTTCCTGTGTGCACGATGCCCAGGCGGTCCGGCAGAAGAAGGCTCCCTGGGGCCAGGTCCGACAACCCGTGGCTGCCCTCTTCCTCCTCCTGGCCAGGATCCGTTGGGCGTTTGATTTGGATACGCTGTCTTTGATTGATGATCTCGGCAGGTCCTGGTCGGTGGAGCGCTTCTCCCCGAAATTTCTCACCCTGCTTGCGCGCAGTGCTGTGCGGCGCACCGTCGAGCGCGAGGAACAACTTAAGCAACATGATTTTTGTGAGTGGAGCGGAGGGGTCAATTGGGCCCCGCTTCACCAACTGTTGTCTCGGAAAAACTCGGCGTGCTGGACCAAGGGGCACAAGGCCGCCTTGTCGGCCACTTTGGCCAACGTTTATTGGTCCCAACGTAGAATTGCCGGCCATTGCCCTGAAGCGGACAATAAGTGTCAGCTGTGCGGGGAGGGCCTGGGGACCTTGTATCATCGAAGGTTCCAGTGTTGTGCTTTCGCCAGCTGGCGCCGCGAGAACCTGGATCCCATCGTCGCCGAGGCTGCTCGCAATGTTGGCCATCTCAGTGGGGAAGCCCGCGAACTTTTTAGCAGGTGCATGCTCCCCGACCCCACGGCCTGGGTGAAGAGGCCGCCGAGGGACCCGCTCGACCCGGGCACCCGCCATTGGCAGTGGCCTCAAGACGGCCCTCTCTTCATCCCGGATGGGGCCAATGTTTTTACGGACGGTTCCGGTTTCGAGGGAAGCATGCCCGGCTTAAAAACGGCTGGGTGGGCTGTCGTTGTCCTCGATAAGGATGGGAGGACGATCGCCGCCCTGTTCGGAGTGGTCCCTCTCGCCGAGGCGCCAGAGCAGCTGGCCCGCGACGGCGAGGATTTCGCTGTGTTGATGCTTTCGCGCCGTGCGGTCATTGGCCAGAACGTTTCCCTGTTTATCGACTGTGCTGCCACAGTCGGCTGCCTCCGTAATCTCCGGGGGGCTGCGGGGGTCACGTCGGCCAGGGCCCACTGGTGGGCCGAAATCGGGGACCGCCTTGAGGGGATGGCCGTGGTCAAAATCCCTGCTCATACGTCGATGACCGACGTGAGGGAAGGTAGGATCACGGACCTCCAGCGCTTTGGCAATTCTGAGGCGGACCGCCTGGCTAAAGAAGGGGCCGAACGGTTCCGCGTTTCTGCTGAGGATCGTATTCTAGTGCTAGGCTGTTTGTTGTGAGCTAGTCAAGAGATTAGGCATTTTTTGTGCAACGCAACAGTTTGAATGCCGTGACCTGGCATTGCAAGACCACGTCGGCCTGGAGTGGCTCGGACATGTCATCCTGGACGCGGTCCCAGGTTTACCTCCTCTGCCTGCCTCCGCTCGGGGGGGAGCCTCCGCTGCTGCTGCGTGTGCTGCCCCCTCCTCTTCCTCCGAGGGCCTTGGTGGTGGACCCACCGGAGAGCCATCGCCCGGAGCTTGGAGGCAATTGGAGCACCTGCTTGAGCAGGCCGACGTTTACGAGTCTGATCGTGAGACGTTTCATGACTCGATGCTGATGTGCGTCAGATGTGGGGCCATGGCCCATTCCAGCACGAAGCGAGGGAATATTCGGTCTGTGTGTCGTCCCGTCGCGTCGTCGACGAGTCGGGGGTACTACCTGAACAGGTTTCGTGCTGGAGCTTATCCCGGCCATCTCGTAACCCGAAAGGGTTCACGTTGGCGTACGTCGGTGCCCCGAGCCTGGAGGTCAGGGAGCATTGGCGGCCCTTTTTCTCTGCCTGGTCCCAGGGCTTGCAGGGGCCCGTGAAGCAGACGGGCCCCTCCGCCGAGCAGACGGCGCTTGTAGGGCCGTTGGCTGCGGACTGGAACCGCGGCTTGGCGCTCTACGGCCTTTCAGCCGCTGCGGCGAAAGCCCTTGGGAGGCAAGTGGTGGAGAGGAAGAGGGCGGGACCGGAGTTCGAGGATGAGGAACCCGATCTCGGCTAGTCCCCCCCTCCATGAGTGCATGCAGCTGTGAATTAGGTCGAACCTTTCTCGGTCGGGTGTCCTTCCCCTCTTCCTAGCCCTCCTCGTCGACGAGGCTGCTGCAAAGATTTGCGAACCCCACCTTCGTGGGTCCAATCGGTGCTGTGGTATCGGACGCCGCTGCAGGCATGCGTGTGGCTGCAGACATCCTGTCTGGGTCACCCCCAGGGGCGCGACTACCTTCGCGCGCCGCGGCCTGGGCCAGAGAGCTGCCCCCCTCTCGAGGGGGCGGGGGCGGCGCGACGGCGCAAAGATAGTCGCGCACCGCGGGGAGCGGTGCGCGAAGCTGCAGTCAGCCCGCACAGCATGGGCAAGGGCTCCCTCGAGGGCGCGAAGTTATTCGCGCTTCGCGGTCCTCGTTCCTTCTCCCCCTCCTCCTCGTCCTCCTATTCTCCCTTTGGGAGGACGGCGCGAAAGCGCGAAGTTATTCGCGCTTCGCGCTTCGCGCAGCGCGAAGCGCGAAGTTGGGAGCCCTAGAAGATAGTCGCGCACCGCGTGGAGCGGTGCGCGAAGCTGCAGTCAGCCCGCACAGCATGGATGAGAGACTTTCCCAGCGTACTATCGGGAGAACCTAGCTCAGCAAAACCAGACACGTCAGAATTCATATCAGCAGTGCTCAGGTTTGTGTCACGAGTGCCATGTTTGCCTGTTATGGCATGTTTATGTCCGCTTTCTAGGAGTAGTGAGAGAAACATAATACCTGAACTTCCTTTATCCACTCACTTACTCAATTTTCTTTGCTAACGTCCTAAAGTCCTACAAGACGCTACTCTCCTTGCTAAAGTCCTACAAGTCTTAATGTTCTTTGTTAATATTCTTTTCTTACTTACGGTAGGTTCGCGTCGTGTCGACCGGCGGCGACCCCGCCAGCGGCGTTCAACTTTGAACGCCGCGGGCGACCCAGATCGTTCGATGTTGAACATTTGGACGTTGCGGAGACGGCCGATCGTTCAAGGTTGAACGATCCCCGCGGTGTCAGAAACCAACGCCGAAGTCGGCACGACACGGACCTGCCGTAATGGTCTTTGCTGACGTCCTACAACACGCCCCTCGCGTCCTTCCCCTTCCCGTCGGCCCCATCCGTGGCCGCTTCTTCGCTGGGCGCGCCCCGCTCGCCGGGGGGGCCGGCGGCGAGCGCGGGGGGCAGTGAGAAGGAGGAGGCCCTCTCGGAAGGCGGCGGGGCCTCTCGGAAGCCCTCGCGCCTTCTGGGAAGCTTGCGCCGTCTTCGGGGAAGGCCTGCGAGGAGGAGGAGGAGGAGGAGGAGGAGGAGGAGGAGGAGGAGGAGGAGGAGGAGGAGGAGGAAGAAGAGGAAGTCCCCGGGAGCTGCCGAGCCTTCTTTGAGAAGGCCCGCCCTTCTCCATTCCCCCCCTGGGCGCGCCGCCCGAGGGTGCCGACGCAGCCTTCCAAGGCCCCTGCATCCTCATCGTGCGTCCTCCTTCTCCTCGTCCTCCTCCTCCTCCTCCTCGTCCTCCTCGTCCTCCTCGTCTTCCTCGTCCTCCTCGTCGTCCTCCTCGTCCTCACCGCCTTCCTCCTCCTCTGGGCCTGGCCGTGGGTGGCCCGGTCCCTCCAGCCCGGAGCCCCCGCCAGTGTGCCGAGAGAAGTCTGGCCTGCAGGGGCGGGGCCCACGCGGGCGACGCCAGAGAAGGGGGGTCGACTGCGCCGACCTTCGGGCGTAGCCTTCCGCGCAAAAAGGTCGCGCGGGAGCGCCCACGTCTCACAAACGCAGCACGCCGCGCGGCCGGCCTGCGGAAGCCACCGCGGAAGGTCACCGTGTCATCCTGCGCAAGACCCGCTGTTTGATCGTCGCTCACGTGTGGCTGCCTGAGACCGCGCCGTGAGCTCTGGCCGCGCCGGCGTGGCTGGGACCCCCCCCCCCAGTCAGAGGCAGAGCCTCCGCGGCGGCCGTGCTGAGGTACCGAGAGCCTGGCCCAGGGTGCCTTCGACGAGGACGAGTCTGCGGCCAGCTTCCAGGCTGCCACCTCCTCTCCCTTCTCCCTCCTCCGCCTCCTCCGCCTCCTCCTCCTCCTCCTCCCTCCTTCTCCCTCCTCCTCCCTCCTCCTCCCTCCTCCTTCCTCCGCCTCCTCCTCCCTCCTCCTTCCTCCGCCTCCTCCTCCTCCCGCCTCCTCCTCCTCCTCCCTCCTTCCTCCTCCTCCTCCCTCCTCCTCCTCCTCCCTCCTCCTCCTCCTCCTCCTCCTCCTCCTCCTCCTCCTCCTCCTCCTCCTCCTCCTCCTCCTCCTGCTCTTCCTCCTCCTGCTCCTCCTCCTCCTCCTCCTCCTCCTCCTCCTCCTCCTCCTCCACCTCCACCTCCTCCTGCTCCTCCTCCTCGTCCTGGGCCTCCTCCCGAATTCTTGACGCTCCGCGTGTCCCTCCCATCCCTTCCAGAAGCGAGGTCCCCGGGAATTGCCTGGGGGAGGAGGTTGACAGACGGGAGGATCATCAGGAGGAGATCGAGGAGGAGAAGGAGGAGGCATTGGACCCCAGGAGGCGGAGGAGGAGGTGGAGGCGGAGGAGGACCAGTGCAATCCCGAGACGCATCAACGATGTTGCATTGGACCCTCTCCAAGAACCTTCTTCAGAGGTCCCTGCAGTGGTCAGTTTTCAATGCGGGACGTGGCACATTAGAAGACAACCGTCCGAGAATCCTCCAACGTGCCAAAACACAGTTCTTGAGGCTTCAACGCCGCGGCTCGACGTGACTGTTGCGTCCTGACTGTCCTAAACCGTGCCGAAAACACCATTCTCGGGACGTCAACGCCACGAATTCACGTGACTCTTGCGACCTGACGATGGTAAATCGTGCCAGAACATTGTCCCTGAGACTTCGTCCGCACGAATCCTTGAGTATGTTGCAAACCTTTTTGATGGATGTGCGTGGCGCTGAGGCGAGAGAAACGTTTTGAAAAAGAACCGCCCTCCATCCTTGAAGCTGCTGCAGACTTTTAAGACGGATGTGCGCGGCGCTAAGGCGAGAGCCACATTTTGAAAACGTTCCGCCCTCCATCCTTGAAACTGTTGCGCACTTTTAAGACACATGTTCGCTGTGCAATGGCGAGACCCACATTTGGAAAACCATTCGCCCTCCATCCGCATTGCAACATTCAAGCTTCATGGTCATACATGGAGAGGAAGTCGCGGGCGAAACGCCCAGTCCGCCCCACCGACACGACACGTCTGGGGGTGCCACAGGGAGGAGCAATTTGGGAGGAAGAGGATGGAGGAGGAGGAGGAGGAGGAGGAGTAGGAGGAGGGAGACGGAGGAGGACCAGGAGGAGGAGGAGGAGGAGGAGGAGGAGGAGGAGGAGGAGGAGAGGAGAAGGAGGAGGAAGCTGCGGCCATCTTTTAGTCTGCCTCTGGGCTTCTTGCCAAATTCAACGCCTCGATCTGGCGACGGCAGGGAGTGAGACGAGTCTCGGTGAACGTCAGGGAAGCTGCGCCCCTGTCTGCGAGGTTGGCGTCGTCGCCTCTCCTGGCCCCCTGTCCTTGCCCTCGTCCTCCCCTGTCCCTCCTCTCCCCCCGACCTCGTCACCCCTGCCCACCTCCCTCCCCTCCCCTGTCCTCCCGCCTCTCTCCTCCCTCTGCCTGTTCCGCCGCTCCCTCCCCCCTCTCGCCCTTGCCCTTCCCGCTCTCGCGTGGAGCTCCTTCCCGTGCAGTGGCTGTCTGTTGGGAGGCGACTCGGAGAAGGCACAGGGTCGGGCGGGGCCAGGACGAGGATAAATCAGCTCCGGAGCATTCCGGAACGCTCTCAGAGCGCGCCGAACCGCTCTGAGAAGGCCGCGGCGCCCGAGAGCCTGTTTTTCTTTGGATTCGGGCAAGTTTATTTGCATGAACGGGGGAGGGGGCTGAGTCTGAAGCAAGCCGAAAACAATTCGACGTGCGGAAATCACGCAAGTCGAAAGGCGCTTGCACGCTCGTGGTCGATGGAAGAGGGGCGAGGGGGGGGGGGGGGGGGGGGGGGGGCGAACGCCATGCAAGTAAGCTTGCCTGGATATAAAGAAAAGCAGGCTCCGAGACATCCTCCGGAACGCGGCGGGATCGCAGAGCTTCTCGACTTCTCCGCACCTGATCTTCTTGTGCTCGTCCGTGCTTCGTCTCGCGGGGGCTCGCGGGTCGCCCGCGGGGTCGCGAGGGTGGCGTCGCTGCGTGCGCCGCCGTCTGGACTTGAATAGGGCCGCCCTCCTTCCAAAAGGGGGCGACGCGAGGAGCGCGAGGGGGCGCGAGGCGGGCCGCGCGCGGCGCGTCGCGGGGCGCGAGCGCGAGATGAGGTCCCCTATGGGTCTCGGGTGTGCGTCTTGCCCCGGCCGGAGCCGCTCGCGGCGATGCGCTTCCGACTCGATTCGGGACGGTTCGCTGGCGTGCCGGGTCGTTTCCGATCCGATCTCTGGTTTTGGGGGGTGGACAGACCTCCTACCCTGACACGTCGATTAAGGAATTGGCCGTTTTCGGTTCGCGAGAGGGCGTCGCGGCCGTCATTTTTGCGTGTCCAGGTCCGTCGGTTTCGGTCCCAGGCCATTTTCACTAAGGGGAGGTCTTTTAAAGGGAGGTTTGTCCACCGCCGAGGTTTCGCGATCCGATCCAGCTCAGGTCTGCAAAGGTGACGGCAGCGAGGATGAAGGCCCTGCTCCGAGCCCTCGCGCTTTTTGCGCCTTTCTTCTTTGTCTTCTCTTCCTCTTCTTCCTCTCCCTCTCGCCTTCTCCTTGGTTGACGCGATCTCCTGACAGCATGGTCGCGCTGTTGCCTAAAACTTCTTGTGGAGGTCCTTCGACGTGTGGATGTCCTTCGACGTCTCCACCTTGCTGTGGGCTCCGACTGCTCGGGACCGCGGCAGGCTGCCAAGCCGGCACACAGGCGCCAGGGCATCTCATGTGATGAAGGCCGTGGCTTCGTGCGCAGCGCCGAGATCGCCTTCGGCGTGACAGAGTGCCTGGCGGATCCGAGCACGAGGTGCCTCACAAGAGTGGCCTCGCGCTGGAGCTCCTCGCTCCTGCACCCCAGCCTGCACGGTCAGCTCGACCCACGAGTGCCTGCCGTGCCGTTGGCGCCGAGGCTGGCGATGAGAAGACGCCACGGGGCCTCTTTTGGCAGCGAGCCCCGGGGGGAAGTGAGAAGGGCGGGCCTGTTTTCCACCACCACCACCATGAGTTGGATGGGGGGAAGGAGGAGGAGGAGGAGGAGGAGGAGGAGGAGGACCCCCTCCCCCTCCAACTTATGGTGGTGGTGGTGGAAAACAAGCCCATCAGAGAAGGGCGGGCCTTGTCAAAAGGCTCGGACATCCCCCCGGCCTCCGAGAAGTGTTCCAGGCCCTCCCCGAAGACACCGACGACATTTCGCAGAAGGCCCGAGGCCTTCCGAGAAGCCCCGCCGCCTTCTGAGGAGGCCTTCTCCTCCTCGCTTCCCCCCCTCGCTCGCCGCCGACTCTCTACACCTTAGGCGATGCTTAAGAAAACTCAAGTTTTCGGCCAGAGTCTCGATTATTCTTAACGTTCCCATGTAAATCCTAAGATTTTGATAGAATTGTGGGTTTTTATTTAAGTTCTGAGACCATGGATTTCTTAACCCATGATTTCTTAACCATTTCGCGTGGTGTAGTTCGCCCCCACACCCCCACGCGCAAGAGGCTGTCGGTGGCGTCCGCGCTGCAGGCGCCAATCGTGTTCCAACGCGGGCAGCACCTGCTCTGCTTCGTTGAGCCGCTGACGGTTCGCCCTCTCCCCCCTCTCAGCGATCCTCCTGACCGTGGCGGTTCTGGTTATACTGCAGGGAAGCGCTCGCCACTGGAGCCTGCCCCCGTGAGTTTATGATCGTGGCTGGACCGTGGCGTCATTGATGGCTCCGCAGGGAAACACTCGCCACTGGAGCTCGCCCCCGTGATTTTATGATCGTGGGCCTGTCGGTGTTTCCTGGGCTTCAGACGAGCAAGAGGCCATGATAGTGATACGTTCCAAGGTTTCCAAGGCCTCCAGAATTTCCAAGGTTCCCTGCTTTTCCACACGGCCTGCAGAAATGACGGCCGCTAGGTATTCTGGAACGTAGCCTGAGCCAACTGCAACATGACATTTCTGCAAATGCTTCTCTTGCGACGCACTTTATCTTGTGCTGGGAGAGACACTGCTTGCTGCACGGACACGCAGAGCGGTTTCGACGACGTCGGCGCGGTTGTGGCCGTGCGCGGACTCGATGGTGGAGCCCACTGGGGATGTTATGGACGGATGGATGGTGAAGCTGCAGCCGTCGATCAGGCAGCTCGCCGTCAAGCTCTTGGGAGGGGGGGGGGGGGGGCATTTTTGCATGGACACATCCAGCCTACACCTTAGGCGATGCTTAAGAAAACTCAAGTTTTCGGCCAGAGTATCGATTATTCTTAACGTTTCAATGTAAATCCTAATATTTTGATAGATGTTTTCGGTTTTTATTCAAATTCTGAGACTATGAATTTCTTGACCCATGATTTCTTAAGCATTTCGCAGGGTGTATCAATCTGATCGACTCGATCTCGCTGATCTCCCCACGACGTGCCTACTGTGACTCAGGCAGCCCCAGGAGTACGCGCTCCCATCGCCCGTGCCGCTCTACGCCAGCCTCTCTGAGGCTGGGGCGCTTTCGAGGGCACGGGTCCTTCCCCCTGTTCGGGCGTTCTTGAGTCCTGCGCCCACTGCCTTGTGAATGGAACTCGTTTGGGCCGCGTCCAAGCCGTGCACGAGTATAGCGTGTTCGTCAGATTGCACGGCACATCTTGTAATCTTGCTCATCTCGTCCGCAGTGCGGATGTCCAGCGAGTTGAAGACGAATCCGAGTCCGTGCACGGCCGAGCATGGGTCTGCTTGTCTCGCGAGGTCGGCGACAGCGGCCAGGGCGTTGACTCGTGCGCGGCGGCTCCGCCCTCCCATATTCTGAGTCTGGCCATGACGCACGAGGCGATGCACATCGGCATGACCTTGAAGTACACAGCCAGGATCATAGTTTGACCCACGCCTCGGGGGGGACAACAACATGGGTCGGTGGCCGCCGTTCCGACGTTGATGCGCAGACCCCCCGTCCTCCGAAGATTTCTTCACAAGACCGGCATGTCTTTTGAACGATGCGCGGAAAGAAATCCATCTCCCCCTTGTTATAATACAATCGTACACCGTAGGCGATGCTTAAGAAAACTTAAATTTTCGGCCAGAGTCTCGATTATTCTTAATGTTTCAATGTAACTCCTAAGATTTTAGTAGAAATGTTGGGTTTTTGTTCAAGTTCTGAGACTATGAATTTCTTAACCCATGATTTCTTGAGCATTTCGCAGGGTGTATTCAACTTCCAGGACCCCCTCCGTTTTTTTCCACGATGCGAGCTTTCCCGAACAAGACCACGCCTTTCGCCTGGAAGGAAATCGCGAGTCGACACTTCTGTCTTGGCGGAGCATGTGTCTTCCTTTGTGTTCCGTCTTGTCGTGTCGCCTGCCTGGCTTGCTCAGGGCGTGGTGTCTCAGTTCGGGATGTTGGTGCGCGGGATCACTGTTGTGTGTGATGCTCGGTCTTCGAGTTTGCTGTCTGTTTTGTGCTCTCCTCTGTGGCTATGTTTTCGCTGGTGTAGGCGGTTCTCGGCGCGAGCACGATACTCCGCGCTTTTTTTTGTCGTGTGGACTTCTTCGAGCAGAGAGCTCCTCCTCCTCCTCGTCCTCCTCCTCCTTCGGCTTTTCTTTCTCTCCCTCGGCATTGTGCGCGTCTGTTCCGCACGCTGGGTGAGGAAGTTTACGGCTTTCAAGTGCGCACTCCTCGGCCACACCAGTAGGATGTCTTTTAATCAGGCTTGAGGTGTGCAGGTGTGTGTGTGTGGTGGCTTTCGTATTGTATCGCCAGCTGTTGAATCGTGATGTCCGCTCCCACATTCTCCCTCCCCAGAGAACAGAATCTCTGCCCCTCCCCTCCAAGCCCCGCTCTCTCGCCCCCTGCGAGAAACCGCGTGCCTCGACCTGGCCTGCCTCTGCTCCTCGCCCGGCTTCTCCCGCCTGCGCGTCCTCCTCTCCTGCCCGCGCGGGCCGCCTTGTTTCCTCTGCAGCCGCCGCCGTCGTCGTCGTCGTCGTCGTCGTCGTCGTCGTCGTCGTCGTCGTCGTCGTCGTCGTCGTCGCCGCGCCAAGCCCCCGAGAACCGCCCCTGCGAGAGCCCGCGCGCCGGCCAGGAGGCCCTCCGGGCCTGGCGCGAGGGCACGGAGCCCCGCCCAGGCGCCCGGCGGGGGAACGTTGGGCCTGGCCGCCCGGGAGCGGCTCCGAGCCTCGTGGGGCGGCCCGCGAGGCTCCGAGCTGGAAGATCGACGCGAGGGATGACTCGGCGGAGGGAGGGGCCCAGGGGAGGAGGAGGGGGAGGAGGAGGAGGGTGGAAGAGGAGGAGGAGGAGGAGGAGGAGGAGGAGGAGGAGGAGGAGGAGGAGGCAGGAGGAGGAGGAGGAGGAGGAGGAGGAGGAGGCCCAGTCAATGCAAACGCGGGTCAGCCAGAGCGCCAGGTCGACCATGCAGGATCCTGTAGCGCCAGGGGCGCACTGACCCTGGCTAGCGTGCAGGATCCTGCAGGATCGTGCAGGAGCCTGCGAAGCCTGACTGACCCGGCTTTGGATTGACCCGGGCCAGTAGGTCCCCGACTCTGGCGTCTCGAGAAACTCGAGGCGGAGGTTGTTCGTTTTCGGCATTTGGGGGCCCTCGCTGTGGGCCCAGTGATCGTCACGGGTCGGGACCTTCGGGGCCCCGTGCGGAGAAACTTGAGGTTTCGGATGTCTGGGGGGGAGCGGATGGTTTGAGTCTGAGCTTGTCGGGCCAGCCGGTGGGGGGAAGGAAGGTAGGAGGTAGGAGGAGGAGGAGGAGGAGGAGGAGGAGGAGGAGGAGGAGGAGGAGAGGAGGAGGAGAAAGGAGGAGAAAAGGAGGAGGAGGAGGAGGAGGGAGGAGGAGGAGGAGGGGGGGGAGGGGGAGGGGGAGGAGGAGGAGGAGGAGGAGGAGGAGGAGGAGGAGGAAGGAGGAGGGAGGAGGAGGAGAGACGCAGGAAGGAAGACGAAGGAGGAAGGAGGAATGAGGACAAAGAAGGACGGGGATGGGGGACAGATGTGGATGGGGGGGTGGGGGGGGGCGTTGAGCTCATTGTCAAAGGAGGAAAGTCTTGGCAACGCTAGGGGGGATGGGCTCAGAGGGGAATGCGTCGACCCTCAATCGAAAGGACCCTTAATGGCCCATTCATCGCCGATAGAGGCACCATAGCCCACCTCGCCCAGGAACGCGCGCTTTGGCGGTGCGGACGAGGAGAAGCAGGAGGAGGAGGAGGAGAAGGCGGAGGAGGAGGACATGCAGGAGGAGGAAGAGGACGATGAGGAGGAAGGAGGGATGGGGGCGGGGGAGGGAGGAGAAGGAGCTCGGCAACAGCTGTGACGGTGCAGCCGCTTTAAACATGTCCCCTGCGCCTGGACTGTGCTTGGAGGACTTGCACGGCGAGCGCTGTGGTCAGGACGGTCCCGAACATAAGAGCTGCAGAAGCATACAGTCGGCCCGGATTAGTAGGTTGACCCTGCCAGCTCAAGGGTACCCTTGTGTGTCCTGTAACTCGCGGCACGTGCCTTCTTACACTCCTAGGGCGATGTGGCCCTCGGAATTATCTTGTGTCCTCTCGCGTGTCCTGTTCAATCACGGCCGATTGTACATGCTCGGCGGTCCGCGCGATTTGTTTTAGATCTGGGTTGGGCCCCCCTGGCGGCGCTTCTGGCGCCGCCTGGGGGGCGTGGGTGGGGGGGCAGCGCCAGTCCAAGACATCCGCGCGGACCGCCCACAACCAATACTCATGCCGTTTTTGTCTTGCCATCGCTCGGACGTGTGCATTTGTTCTCGGCGAGAACCATCGAGGAACATCCAGGACCGTCGAGCAAAACAAAACACGCACAAAACCGAAAAATGCGGGGGAAATGGACGTCCGAGCGACGGCAAGTTGTTCATCTCATGAATGGTGTCTCAGAGGCACTGGGTGGCAGCCTGACAGCCTCTCTGGGCTCGTCGGCGGCAGCTTCTGCAGCCTGCTCCAGAGGGGATCCTCCAGAGGCGGGCAGGGAAGTGGAGGACAATCGTCCGGGAAGCTGCTCGCCGCCTCAAATCAGTGCCCTCTCGACTCCAACGCCTCGCCGCGCACAGAGAGCAGGTGGCTTCCATTCGTGGGTGCGCAGGCAGTGGGATGTCCAGCTGCCTGCGGCAGGGTCCGCCGCCGTGCCGCCCGAGGACTCGGGGGCGACAGTTCGAGGAGCGAGCAGGAAGCCGCAGCGTGTGACACCACTTCGGGCCTCTTGGAGGCCGCTTGGCAGTGTTCTGTGGGCCTCTTCGAGCCTCTCGCTGCATCAGGGGAAGCTCTTCGGGCCTCTTCGAGGCTCCTTGGGCCGTCTCAAGGCGCTCTTGGGCTGTCTGGCGCCTTCCGAGTCCGTCTTTGGGGCTTGAGGCTCCCTTGGGGCCCTGGAGAGCCGTCTTGAGGAGCATTTGGGCCGTCTGAGGGCTATCGTGGAGGCCCTTTGGGCCCTCTCGCGGCCGTCTTGGGGCCCTCTTGGAGGCCTCTTGGATCCGCCGCCTTGAGACCGTCTTGAAGGGCTCTTGGGCCGTCTTGGGCTGACAGAGGTCCGAGAAAGCAAGAAAGCGTTCCTCTGTCCAACATCTAGCGAATTCTCTGACTCGGTTTTCTCCGGATTCTCTTGATGATTCTTGGAACCTTGTTGGGCGGTTTTGGGAGCGTCTTGGGCTGTCTCAGGGCCACCTCGGGCCGTCTCAGGGCCACCTCGGGCCGTCTTGGGGCCATCTTGGGCCATCTTGGAGGCACCTTTGGGCCCTCTCGGCGGCCTTGGTGGCCTGCCGGGGCTGTCTTGGAAGCCCTCTTGAGATTCGCGGAAGCCGTAGAGCGCCAGGGAAGCGTCGGGGTGCCCGGTGCCCGCTTGGGAGGGGTCGGCGATGCATGCCCCCGAGTGTGACCGGGATCGGCCGCGCGGAGAGGGGGGTATACACCTTAGGCGATGCTTAAGAAAACCCAAGTTTTCGACCAGAGTCTCGACTATTCTTAATGTTTCAATGTAAATCCTAAGGTTTTGATATGAATTTTGGTTATTTATTCAAGTTCTGAGACTATGAATTTCTTAACCCATGATTTCTTGAGCATTTCGCAAGGTGTAGGGGGGAGGGGGGAACGCGTCTAGGAAGCACCCGTGCTTCTCAGAAGGCGCGGGCTCTGTCTGCAGATGCAGGGCCGGCGCCCTCTGAGAGGCAGGCTCCTGGGCCCCCCGTGCCCGCTCCCGATGCTGCGGCTGCTCTTCCTCCTCCTCCTCCTCCTCCTCCTCCTCCTCCTCCTCCTCCTCTTCCTTCTCCTCCCCCTCCTCCTCCTCCTCCTCTCCTCCCTCCTCCTCCTCCTCATTCCCCCCCTCCTCCTCCTCCTCCTCCTCCTCCTCCTCCCCTCCTCCTCTCCTCCTCCTCCCCCTCCTCCCTCCTCCTCCTCCTCCACCCCCCTCCTCCTCCTCCTCCCCTGGCCCAGTAATCTTCTCCTCGGGCTGCGTGCGCCTGCCGCTGCGACCCGCCCATTCCGCCCTTCCGCCACTCCTCCTCATTTCTCCTCCTCCTCCCTCCTCCTCCTCCTCCTCCTCCTCCTCCTCCTCCTCCTCCTCCTCCTCCTCCTCCAAGGGGGGTCCCTCAAGAGATGGCGGAAGCCCTACCAAACAGCACCTGACGTCGTTCTGCGCCTCTCAGCGTGCCAAGGGGGCGGGCAGCCCCCACCCCGCTGCTGGGCCGTGCCAGGGCGCGCGCGCAGAGCGTGCTTCTCGTGACGGGCGGGCTGCCTCCGCCCTGTTTCGTGCACTGGCCGGCAGGCCGGGCTGCTGAAAATGCACGCGCCGCATCTCAGTTTTCCTTTTTTTTTTGTTTTTTTTTTTCTCCTCTTTTTGAACCTCCTCGGGAAAAAAATAAAAAATCTCAGTTTTCCTCTTTTTGAACCTCCTCGGGAACCCTCGTCACCACGGCTGGATTCGCCTTGAACTTCTGGTCGGAACGCAGCCGAGGAGAGGTCCAGGGAGTAGCGATATGAGCACCTTTTGGTGTCCCCAACACATCCACGCGTCAGGACATCTCTTCTCAGCTCTGCTGCCTCCTTCCCTGCTGCTTCCCAGGCCTGTCCAGTGTTTTCTTGTACAAGGGGTAGCAGAGACTTTGACCATGCCGATGAGGACGAGATTGAATCGGGCAGGCCCCCCCGAGGTCCTCAGAGTTCCTTACATGCGCGGCGCGTAATACCAGTGTGCTCGCGCATCGCGCATTGGCGTGGACTGCACGATGCTGCTGGAGACTGGTAGCTCCGTCTGCATCCGACCCGCTTCAAGCATGCGAAGAACGGTATGATATAAGCTTCTCTGTCAGCAGGGGCGCCTGTCCCAGGCGGCTGGACTGTTTCTACCCCGACGCGCCACCCTAGGGGCATAAACTTTCCAGCCGCCCTGGGACAGGCACCCCCAACGGCGAAACAGCTTAATGTTTACTGCTCTTCGCCCGCTAATGTGACCATTTTCTTACTCACTGTGTTGTTAATCGGCGCGGGCCCTCGCCCCCCCCACTCCCCCCCCATGGAATAGGTCTTGGCTGTTTTGGGCGCCTGTACCGAGCAGGTGGAACGTACTGCTGCAAACAGTCGCATCCAGCAGAGGCCCAGAGCCAGATCCCCCCCCCCCCTCCCCCCTCCCTTCCCCCCCCCCCTCCCCCCCCCCTCCCCCCTCCCCCCCCTCCCCCCACTCCCCCCCCTCCCCCCCTCCCCCCTCCCCCCTTTCCCCCGTCCCCCTCCCGCGCCCGATGCCGACACGCCGAAGAAGCAACCGTTCCCAGTGCCTCCCAGGCGTGGCCAGCCACGCCGCGCCAGACCCCCCCTCTCTGCGCCCTTGCCCTGCCCCCGCGGCAGGCCCCGGAGGCAGAGCCGAGGAGGCGCCCGCGGTGAAGGCGGGCCCCGCGCGCGGCCCGCCCCGGAGCGCCCCCCGCCGCCCCCTCGGGGGCGGGCAGGCGGAGCGGCCCTGACTCCAGATCCGCCCTACTTTGGCTTTTTTCCCAACTTAACACTGCGTCGGAAATCCACCTGTAAGAGGCGGAGAAAGTAGGGCGGAAATTGCTGCACCCAGCATGAAGTAGGGCGGAAACCCGCAGAAGTAGGGCGGAAACAGCAGCAGGAAAGTAGGGCGGGAAATTGGCATCAGCGGGGCTTGAGAAGTAAGGCGGAAATTCCAAGCCCTACTTACGAATTTCCCCAAAGTAGGGCGGATCCGGAGTCAGGGGGGGCCGTGCCGACTCGGGTGGTCCGGGAGGGCCGGGGCCGGCTCGGCCTCGATCTCGACGGAGTGCGGCCTCGACGGCCCGGAGCCTTCTCGGCTCCTCCGAGCCGACTCGGTTCGCAAAGGCGGTGGAGGAGGAGGACGAGGAGGAGGAGGAGGAGGAGGAGGAGGAGGAGGAGGAGGAGGAGGAGGAGGGAGGAGGGGAGGAGGAGGAGGAGGAGGAGGAGGAGGAGGAGGAGGAGGAGGAGGGAGGAGGAGAGAGGAGGGAGGAGGAGGAGGAGAGGAGGAGGAGGAGGAGGAGGAGGAGGAGGAGGAGGAGGAGGAGGAGGAGGAGGAGGAGGAGGAGGAGGAGGAGGAGGAGGAGGTTCCGACGTGGGCCCCGATGCCTCAGTGGAGGCCTGCTGGCCTGCCGAGTGCCAGCGAGGCGGCTTCTCCCGCCGCGGCTGCCGTCTGCCACCGATCCCATTCACTTCGATCGCCGATGCGGCTTGTGTCGGCTCGATTCTGGGCTCTCCTGGAGGGCAGGGGGCTGAGGTACTCAGGAGGAGGAGGAGGGGGAGGAGGGGGAGGAGGAGGGGGAGGAGGGGGAGGAGGAGGAGGAGGAGGAGGAGGAGGAGAGGAGGAGGAGGAGGAGGAGGAGGAGGAGGAGGAGGAAGGGGGAGAGAGGAGAAGGGGGAGAGAGGAGAAGGGGGAGAGAGGAGGAGGAGAAGAGGAGGAGGAGGGGGAGGAGGAGAAGGAGGAGGAGGAGGAGGACCAGTGTAAACCCAAGACTCATCAACGATGTTGAAGTACGCCCTCCCTCCAAGATCCATCCCCTTTCGTAGGCCCCTAGAATGGGGTCAGTTCCGCCGGAGGAATTGCCCCAGTGGGGGACAGCCGTGTGAACACCTTGAGGCATACCAAAACACCATTCTCAGGCCTTCAACGCCACGAGGTAACCTGTTGCGTATTGGCGATCCTGCATCGTGCCAGAACACCACTCCTGGGACGTCAACGCCGCGAAGCAACGCAACTGTTGCGCCCTGACAGTCCTGAATCGTTTCAAAACACAGTTTCTGTTACGTTAACCACAAAAACCAATGAATCTCTTTGAAGTTGTTTGAACGAACGTGCGCGGTGCTAAGGCGAGAATCACATATTAAAAACGACCCGCCCTCGATCCGTGAAGCTCTTGCTCTTTTGTTGGAATGAATGTGCGCGACGCTTTGAAAATGATCCGCCCTCAATCCGCGAAACTCTTACAATTTTTGAGTACGAATGGCGGCGGCGCTGAGGCTGGAGCCTCGTTTTGAAAACGATGCGCCCTCACTCTGAAGCTCTTGCAATGTTTGTAAAACGCATGTGCGATGCGCTCAGACGAGAACCACATTTTGAAAACGACGCGCCCTCAATCCGTGAAGCTCTTGCAATGTTTTGAAGCGAATGTGCGCGACGCTAAGGCGAGAGCCACAGTTTGAAAACTACCCGCCCTCAATGCGTGAGCTGTTGTCAATGTTTAAGCGTCAGTGTCGTAAATGGTGAGGAAGTCTGTGGCGAAACGCCCAGCCCGCCCTTTCGACTGGCCTCGGGTTCCGACAGAGAGGAGTTATATATAAGGAAAAGGGATGGAGAGGGGGGAAAGGAGAAGGAGGAGGATCAGGAAGAGGAGGAGGATGAAAAGAAGGAAGAGGGCATGTAGTCTTCCTGCGACGGCAGCTGGGGGGAGGCAGTGCGGGTGCATATTAGGACGAGGTCGTGGCGCTGGATGCAGGTATCAAGGCTCTCTGAGTGCTCTTTCCTCCCCTCCTCTTCTGTGCCGATCCTCTATTGCGCTTACCCCTCCCCCACCACCTCTTCGCGTCGTCTCTTCAGGCCTCCCAGCAATGTCCAGGCACCGTGCAGCCACTAGGTTTCCAGAACAGCAAGGTAGCATACGGTAGGTTCATGCGGCGTTGGCGCGCCAGCGACGCCGGCAAAGGCGTTCAAGGTTGAATTCTGTGACGCGGAATCACCGACGGACATTGTAACGCCATTGGACCCGACTGAATTCAACCTTGAACGATCGGGGCCGCGATCGGTTCAAGGTTGAACGATCGACGCGGTGTCAAAAACGTTTGCGTGCGCCGACGCCGCGCGAACCTGCCGTAATGCAGGCAGTCCAGTGGCCGTGTGCAGTGCCGCGGTCGTGGGCGAAAACGACGCAGGCGAGGCCCCAGGCCCCCGCTCTTCGTCAGCAGCTGCGCCTCGCTCGGAGCCTTCTGCGCTGCGCCGCCCTTTTTTTTTCCCAACCCTCCCTTGGCTGGGTTCCCCACCTCCTCCTCCTCCCTCCTCCCTCCTCCCTCCTCCTCCTCCCTCCTCCCTCCTCCTCCTTCCTCCTCCTCCTCCTCCTCCCTCCTCCCTCCCTCCTCTTGAATAGAGCAGTGTGGGCCCCACCTCCTCCTCCCTCCCTCCCTCCTCCCTCCCTCCTCCACTCTGCCCGCCGCCCCTTCGTCCCCTCCCCCGCCCGCCCCCCCCTCTCTCTTTCCTGTTTCGTCGTTCTCGCACTCGTTGGGACCTCGCGGGCCCCGCGGGGCTGCGAACCGCGCAACTGTCGCTACTCCTCGTGGGCGCCTGGGAGGCCCAGCGGAGTGGAGGTCCACGCGGACCTGCCGAGACCTCGCGGCTCCCTGCGGGGCTGCGAGCCGCGCAACTGTCGCCAGCTTCGTGGGCTCTTGGGAGGCCCAGCGGAGTGGAGATCTAAACGCGGACCTGCCGAGACCTCGCGGTGCCACCGTCGCCATTCTCGTGGGCGCCTGGGAGGTCCAGCGGAGTGGAGGTGCGCGCGGACCCAGCCTACACCTTAAGCATTTCGCAGGGTGTAGACCTCGCGGCTCCCTGGGGGGCTGCGAAGTGCGCGTCTTTCATCATGTTCGCTCGTGTTGAGCGGTCCTTGATATAGCCGCCCCGTATCAGGAAAGGGCTGGGTACGTCACCAGGTATTTTTTTGGTCGCGGTGCCAGCGGACTCGCGGTGCGCGAGGGCCGAGATTGGGTACCCTCTTGGGTGGGAGGAAGGGGGAGTTCTCCTCACTAGTTGGTCGCAGTCGTCACAGCATTGGACGTCTTGGATCCCTGTATCGTGACGCCTCAATCTTAGAGGGCGATGGGCAGGCGGAGGGAGGGCTAGGTGGACGGAGATAGGGGACAGAGAACTAACAAAAAGGGAGGGAGAGAAAAGGGGATAGAGGGAGAGAGAGAGAGAGAGAGAATAACAAAAACAAAAAAAGAGGGAGAAAGAGAGAGAGAGAGAGAGAGGGATACAGGGCGGACGCCACTGTTTCGAAGGGGTTGCGTGTCTGCGACCTGTAGAGGGGAGAACGATGGTGAGCGGGCAGGAATGGAATTGCAAGAAGGCTGAGGGAGAAGTAGGAGTCTGCCCACGAGTTTTGCAGACACAAGTGTGGGATGAAGGGGAATGAGTGGGGTGAACGTTATGCCCATCACTTGTAACCTTTCCTGTGGGCAAGCGTTGTGACGTGCTAATTAATAGACTCCCGATTTGAGCGTGGTCTCGGAAGCGCTGGTTCCAACGCCTTGAAAGCCACCGCTGATGGTTCTGGCGCGAGGGCTGTGCCCTTCCCGCCGCATGGGAGGTTCGAGCTTTGGAGTGCCACGTGGCAGACGATATCACCCTTCTCGAGGTCCTTTCACATGGGCTTGAAACGCTGGGAGTCCTGTGGCAGTCATCATTTCCGCTTGCCCTCCGCTTGCCCCTCACTCCGGTGACTGCCGCAGTGGTGCCAGGCAGTAGTGTTTCCGTAGCTGTGTTGCCGCTGCGACTGGTCTTCTGGCCGTCACTGCTGTAGTTGGCGCTGCAGCTGGCGTGGGCTTCTCCCTCGTCCTTGAGGGAGGGGAGACGGACGGGGGATGGACGGAACTACGAGGGATGAGGAGACGCTACTTTGAGTTGCGTGTCCAAAACCTCAAGACTATTGTTAACCAGCGTGGCCAAGCAGGTTGCGCAGTCTAGATGGAACAGTTTATGTGGTGCAATATACGAGGTGCCATCTGTGTTGTGCAATCTGTGTTGTGGAATCCATGCTGTTTGTGGAATCCAGGCTGTGCAATCTGCGTGGTGCAATTGATGCAGTGCCGTAAATACACGTTTGTACACACACTTGCTGCAAACTATGTGGCACACTATATGTTATGCAATCTAGGTGGTGCAACCTTCTCATGCCCACAGACATCTGAGTACATGTTAGCTGTATATGTTTTTGCAATCGACATGTCGCAATCTGTGTGGTGCAATCAAAGTTTCGTAAACTATGCTTCGCAATCCATGCGGTGCAATATCGGTTTTGCAGTCTAGGCGGCGACGGGGCGGCGACAGCGAGCACGGAGCCGCCAGACCGACACCCAAGCCCAGACGATGGGCGGCGACGAGACGGCGACGGGGCGGCGACGGCGAGCACGGAGCCGCCAGACCGACACCCAGCCCCAGTTCCTCAGGACAGAAGTATGGCCCGCTGCGTGCAAGCACTTCTTGGGGAACGGCGGCATTACAAGCAGTGTTGAGCTTGAGCGGGGCGCCTCCGCCTCTGGATTCAAGGAGGTCTGAGCACTCTCAGGAAATGGCAGTTACACTTCCCCATCTCGCGCATGTTTCTCATTGCAGTCGCTTTGCGGGAGGGGGGGTAGGAAGGGAGGGATGGAACGAGAAAGAGGAGGAAAGAGAGAGAGAGAGAGAGAAAGAGAGGGAGAGAGAGAGAGAGAAAGAGAGAGAGAGAGAGAGAAACAGCTGACATAAGGGGACGAGGATAGGGAGAGACGAAGGACGAGGGAAGGGGAAAACGAGGGAGGGACGAGGGACGAGGGGAGGGAACGACGAGGGACGAGGGAGAGACGAGAGCGAGAGAGAGAGAGAGAGAAAACAAAAAGATGTGAGAGACAAGCTAGGTGCACACTCGCCTCATCTGACATCATATCCCTTTCTTCCATCCCTTCCCATGGCGATGATTTTTCTTCGCGGGCACGTGTCATAGCCGACCTGCGACTCCCACAGAAAGACCACTTCGTCTTATGCGCAACCGGGAAATTGGAGTTGCGTGCACAGGATTAGGAGGAGGAGGAGGAGGAGGAGGAGGAGGAGGAGGAGGAGGAGAAGGAGGAACAGGAGGAAGAGGAGGAGGAGGAGGAGGAGGAGGAGGAGGAGGAGGAGGAGGAGGAGGAGGAGGAGGTGGTGGGTGAGCAGGAGAATGAGCGGGAGGAAAAGGATCAGGACGAACAACAGCAACAGGAACTAAGGCGGGCGGATCGGGAGGAAAAGGAGGACCAGGGGAAGGCGGAGGAGGGGATCTGAGGGGGGCGACAAGGATGAAGGCAGACTCGGATGCAGAAAAGTGGTCCGACTTTGGGCGAGCCGAACGGAGGCAACAGGAACCAGAGTGGAAGGAGCGGAAGAAGCAAGAGGACCAGGGAAGGGCGGAGGAGGGGGAATGGGGGGTGGGCCACAGTGAAGCAGAATTCGGGTCCAGAAAAGTGGCCCGCGCTGTGGCGGGAGCGCCATTCTGAACGGCGGGGCAAAGCGCTGGCCCGACAACGAGACCCACGCCGCAGCAGGAGCAGAGTTTTGAAGCACCGGAAACCATCGGTTTGTGAAGACAACCTCAGACAGATCAGCGTTTGAAGTCCTGCGTGTGAGAGGCAGCACGCGGACGGGGCGGGAGATCTCCTGGACAATGTCAGGGGAGGGGGAAGAGTGGTGCTCAGATTGCTTCGCTGTGAAGGAAAGGGAGCTGCAGAGGGGCAGAGAGGGAAGGGAGGGGGACAGTGGGGGCCCGACGGGGGGACAGGGGGCAGGGGGGGGGCACAGGGAACTGCAGGGGAGGAGGAGGAGAGGAGGAGGAGGAGAAGGGGGAGGAGGAGGAAGTGGGGGAGGAGGAGAGAGGAGGGGGAGGAGGGAGGAGGGAGGAGGAGGAGGAGGAGGGAGGAGGAGGCGGAGGAGGAGGAGGAGGAGGAGGAGGAGAGGGAGGAGGAGGAGGAGGAGGAGGGGACCGTGGGGGAGGACAGTGGGGAGGAGGGACGCGGCGGAGGCCGGGAGCGCGACAGGGCAGCCCCCCCTGCTGCTGCCCGAGCAGGCGGCGGCCGCGGGCACGTCCTTCTGGGCCTCCATGGGCGGCGGCGAGATGGACCGCGTGCGGCGCCTCCTCTCCTCCTCCTCCTCCCTCCTTCCTCCTCCCCTCCTCCTCCTCCTGCCCTCCTCCCCCCCCTCCTCCTCCTCCTCCCTCCTCTCCTCCTCCTCCTCCTCCTCCCTCCTCCTCGTCCTCCTCCTCGTCCTCTCCTCCTCCTCCTCCTCCTCCTCCTCCCCACCCACACCACACCACCACCACCACCACCACCACCACCACCACCACCACCACCACCCACCACCACCAACACCAACACCACACCACCACCACCACCACCACCACCACCACCACCACCACCACCACCACCACCACCACCACCACCACCACCACCACCAAGACGCCCCAACCCGACCCGCAGGTCCCAGACGCCCCCCAAGTCTCGTGTGGGGTGGGTGCGGGTTCCACGGGCGTTTGCTCGACGTTCCGGGGCGTCTCCCCACTGGAAAATGGCTTGGCATCGTTCGGACGTGTGCATTTTTCTCTCGGCGAGGGCCATCGAGGAGCATCCTTGATCATTTTGCGAATTATCCCAGTGCGACCCTACCTAGGAGTTGGAGCATTTAGGAAAGCAACATCTACATCTACACCGACGGCTACATTTACATTTACACCTGCATCTACATCTAAATCAACATCAGCAGCTAGACTCACATCTACATCTACATCTACACCTACATCCACATCCACACCTACACTACGTCTACATATACATCTACATGTTCGCATTGGTGTTGCTTTTGGTGTGCATTGCCTTTGCTGTTGCTCTTGCCTTTGTTTGTGCCTTTGCCTTTGCTTGTGTGTTTGCGTTTGCTGTTGTTGTTGCGTTGGTGTTGCGTTGTTGTTATGTGTTTATTGTTTTGATATGATATGATGGGCTATGCTATGCTATGCTATGATATGCATTGTTATGATGTGCTAGGATATGATGTGCGAATGCTGCGTGAAGCTAAGGTAAGCTAAGCTAAGATGAGCTATGCTGAGTATAGCTCACCTAGGTTAGGCTACGCTAAGCCAAGCTAAGCTATGCTAAGTTAAACTAAGCAAAGCTAAGATGAGATAGGCTAAGCTAAGCTAAGCCAGGCTAATATGAGTTAAGCTAAGCTAGGCTAGGCTAGGCTAGGCAAAGTTAGGTTAAGCTAAGTTAAGATGAGGTAAGCCAAGCTAAGCTAAACTAAACTAAACTAAAGCTAAGCTAAGTTAAGCTAAGCTAAGCTAAGCTAAGCTGGGTGAACCCAGGGGGCGCGACTGGGGGAACCGCGGGGCGGGGACCGGGGGAACCGCCCGGGGCGCTTTCCACTGCCCGCCCCTGTGAGCTAAGAGAGTTCAGAACACCTCTAGGCAGAGCCCAGGCAGGGAGCAGCCCACGCAC